ATGTTACTTGTAAGCCAAAATTACGAATCATTCAAATACGGAATACAAAACATGAAAAAGTAACTAAATCGAGAATTGAAGGGAAAAAGCAATCCTCGTCTAAATAACGCATTCTTCATTTTGATGAACTTTCTGGAGGCATACAGGTTTTTTTGCGGCTATTTTGGGCGACAACGCTTTTCATAAGACATCGAATAAATTGTTCAAATTCTCTTTGTGGATCGAATCGAATAACATTTCAACGGTTACGTCAAAAAAATCTAAAATGAAGCGATCGGGAACATAAAAAAGGTTAGTCAAATAAAAATTTTCCAATTTTTTCCATTTTACAAAGTGAAAGATCTGCAAGATGATTTAAGGAATAAACGTCCACTCCTCGTTTTCCACTTTTTATAAAGGTTTCCAATTTGAATTGAACAATGGAAAAATTATCAGAATAATTGGTTAAGCGGCTCTACACACTACGAAGTAATGCATACCTTTCTTGAACTTTTTTCACAATATGAGAAAGAAATCGCCAGAGCAAGCACAAAAATCTTTGCGAAAGAAAGAGCCATTCTGGTCTGTTTGAAGTCCACTTTCTCACGATAGCTTGGGAGAATGACGTCGTTCTTAGCCAACAACATCATTATGAATGGAACAGTTCCTTTGTTTCAAAAACGCGAAAAATCTCGCAGATGATGTTTGCGTTCCTATTGTTTCATACAAAACACACCAAAAAGGTTTTCGTCGAGGGTGGAGGGTTGCGCAGGGGGGCATAAAAAGAAAATTAAATCTCTTTTTTAGCAATTCTCTGCTTGTGGAAAAAGGCGTTTTGTTGCTGGGTTATCGCCAAAATTTTAATGAGACAGGAAAAATTTTCAAACAGTCTCAACTCTACAAAACGCACGCACAAACCAGATCAACCATTACTCTCCCTCCCCTCCCCCAGCTGTTTTCCTTTCGGTCTCAAGATCAATTATTTATTCAGTTTGATAAGTTCTCTTAACCTCTCTACCTGGCTGTGGATCGAATAAAAATTGAAGAAAAAAATCATCAATCGATAATGCTTTGATCACAATCTTTGTCATCAAAAAAGATCTATGCGGTTATCAGTTAAAGTAATATACTTTCAGATCAGTGAGAGGGTTAACGGTCCTATTTCTAAAGGGAATTTTATTTTTTTAAAGTCCAAGTAAAGAAAAACATTCGGCAGTAATAAGTGATCCAGGTGAGGTGACAGATGAAGCTGAAAAATGTTTTTGACGAGAA